AGTAGTAAAGGAATCTTGGCGGCTATTATGGCTGAACTCTATAATGGCTACAATGGCTGGAATATGGTTTATTCCATATTCGACGTCCCTTTTATCACCCAGAGGCAGAGAGAGTCACTTTGACTTCACAACCGCTTTTCTTTGCTTTTAGGGACATCAGGCGTGAACCTCGCCTGAGCTATGAATTATTTTATTAACCCGGCCTGACCCGGGGGCAATCCTAACCACCACAGTCCATGGGGGACGTTTTTCGCCCCCTGTCTAACACCGCAAATAAGGGTCAGCTACGGATACAAACGCGATACCAAGCGAAACCCAGCAAGCATGCCGACGTCGGCCCAACATCGGTCCAACCATATAGCCTTGGTCCAAGCTCAGCCCGACGTCGGCTGGACGGCGGGAACGTCCGCATACCTATACCGACGTCCAGCCGAGGTCCAGCCGACGTCGGGCCGAGATCGTTCGCCGAAGTTGAGCCGAGATGACGGTCGGGCCGACGTCGGCTCGACATCTCCCCGCTGTCAACCCGACGCTCAGCAGACGTCTCCCCGCTATATCAACCCGAGGTACAGCCGACGTCGGACCGACACTCAGCCGATCGGCTAGACACTGAGACTCTGAGGGGCCCCAAACAGGCCTCTATCTATAGGCCCCAACTGGCCTATGAGGTCTACACCTGCCACTGATGGCCCTATGATCCCGCGCCGGGCCGGTGCTCCGAGACTTCCGCGCCGGGCCGCGGGGGGGGGGGGTGTCTTAAGTTTAACTCTGCTCCTGGGTCACGTAGCGACACACGGTAAGGGCAATCGAAACTGAACATCCAAAATAAAGACAAAAACACTTTGGTCATTTTTTGGTCAGGTCGTCAAAGGTCAGGTCACTAAAGGACTCACCAAAGGTAGAATGTTGGCTATTTCAACATTTTGGGAACTGCCAACGGCTAACACGGGAGCCGATAGAGCTACAGCGCCGCGGGAAAGCGCATTCGATAGCTCTTTTAACGTTCTTTCGCGGACGTGTCCTCAGATTTGACCTCAGGTCAACGGTTTAGCCTCCAGAGGGAAAAAACTCCAAAAATAGCCGTGTTCACGAAAAGTGTTTTTTTTTCGGCAATAAGTTTTGACTCAAAAGAGCCACGACATCGCTTTTACCGGCATTGTGTTCTTCTCGTCGAAACGCTTCGAATGAACTGTAATTTGGCCTTGAAAGGTCAACTTGAAAATTTGACCTCAGGTCAAGGTCATGACCTAACCAGAAAAGGTCATGTTGCGTATTAGTCGATCGGCATCGTCGAGCCGAACACATCTAAGGCGTTTTCGTTGCTCTAACATGCCTCAATCAGAAGTTATTAGCGAAAAACTGTTAGATGCTAGGGTAAGGTGCCTAATTAGCGACCCTTTCCGATTTGCGACCTACCTCCCTACAGAAAAACTGGCAGGAGGAAACGGGGTAAAAACATCGTCAAAAGGTCAGCCATACTTTGGTTATCAAATTAAATTATTTTCCGGTCGTCGATGTTTCTGGTGGGACGTTTCATCTGAGTTTAGATAAAAATGACGAGTTTCTTATCCAAAACGTGTGTGTTTGTGCCCTCTCTGATGAAAAGCGATGCACATTAGGATGATGCACCTTTTTTATTTTGAATCGACATTCCTTTTTCAATTGATTGCCGTTTTCCCATAGTGAATCGCTCAACTGTGCACAGCATGGCGGTTAAAAATGTGTCGCCACTCTTATTTCCTATTTGCGCCTGACATGGTCGCAAATAGCTCAAGAAGGGGAAGAAAGGGGAAAAGAGAGAAATGAAAATGAGGTGTTGCTGAAGATTGCAATGTGTGGCAGGGGATGCTAAATGTCGTCATCGACTGCAGGGGTGCCGAATTCAGCGCGGACCTCGAATATCATACGATGCATGTTATTGTCATTGTTATATGTTTCTTGACAACGACCTCGATGCGAAGGTCGAAAATTCGAAACGAAAACAATAAACGACTAGTAGCCGAAAACGTTCCTACCTTGTAATGTCTAGTCGTAAAAGCTTGAAATCATATAAACGTTCATGTTCGAGTGATTGAGTGCTTTGCGTATAGGTTACATTTTTTAGATCATATTTCATCTTTTCAGGCGTCGCATTTTTTGCCATTTTTAATATGGGGAAACCCATAGACTTATTAGCGACCCTCCCCGGTCGCAAATTGGGAAGAGTTCCCTATTAGCGTTTTTTTTGCAATAATGCAATGGTTTGCCAAAATACTCACTTCAAATAAGTTAGCGACTATTGGGGCAGAAAATGACTATATTTCAATGGAAAATGAACGATCTCTCCGAAAATCAAGCCAGTAATACAGTGGCACCCACAGAGCGTTAGCAATGACGGTTCAAATTAAGGGGGTCGCTAATTAGGCACCTTAACCTATTCGTGACCTGAGATGACCTCGGGGACATAACGAGGGGTCACAGGTGCCATTTTCCGGTTCAGTGTGTCAATTTTACCTGCATACCGATGTTTGAGAGTGTCTTGAATGGCGTTCCTGCAAAAGAGACGCTTTTCAATTTTATCCCATTGACTTTATAATGGAGAGGCCGCAAAATTGACCTGACCTTAGGTCACCGATATCAAAATTCCGAGACATACGTTTTATAAATGATACTGTTACTCTTATTAATCGCTGAAAGTTTCAAGGCAATGATCATTCAGTCGGTGTTGCTATGACGAGCATTCTAATTTTTTTCTGAGGTGAGGTCGCTTGGCGTGACCTGGTAAGTCCAGGTACCCACTGCCCACCACTTAATGTCCATATGGCGTCATCAGGGTACAATTTGCTGCCGACGCCGGTTTAACCCTCGCCGGCCGAGGGGGGGGGCGGGTGCCGCCCCCCCCATAGGGTTTTTTCGCGATAGCTCCAAACACGCTGGCCATAGAGAGCTGAAACTTGGCATACCTGACCTTTGATCCAAGCCGGATCTTTTGACACCAACCGCATTTTTGGGTCAGGTCAGGTCACTGACCTATGACGTCATAAGTGAACCTCTGCACGGTCTTCAGATGTCGCAACTTCGCAACGCCCTCACTGCCAGAGGAGATGTCACAGGGAAATGAAACTTGCAGGATCTAGTATCCATTATGAGTCTCACAACTTGTATATCTCGGATTTTTCCTAAAGGTCATATGAGGTCAGGTCATTTTCGTGACCTCACCATTATAAGTCAATGGGGAAAAATGAAAACTGCTATTCTGGCGCCGCGAACGATCTCTAACTATCTCAAGCACACAGAATCGTGATTTGGTGCACTCCTTGCAAGGTTAGATGCGTCACTTTTGCGATGTTGACCTTGCGTGACGTCATTTATGACGTCATCAAGGTCATATTAGTTTTTCGTCAATAACTCTTGATCAAATTGAGCTAGCGAGTCGGAAAAGCCACCAATGGACTCAGGAAGGCCTACCGAATCGAATGATATGCGACATGACCTCTTTCGACCAGCTTCGTGACCTGGGGGTGCTGACCTGACCTTGACCTGAGGTCAACACCCCAAGTTGACCTGACCCGGACAAAAAGTATATCATTCGACGCGCCTGAGCGAGGCGAACACGATGCTGCCACAATCGGCGCTCTACGGCCGTTTTTTGCGAAGTTATTCACCAAAGAATGAACCGTACATTGGGGCACTTGACCTGACCTCAGAGGTCACCGGTTGACCTAGGACCTTAAAATCGGGTACCAATCTCTGCGTCTCGTAACGGCGCACACGCTCGTTTTTTTCGCGACGCGCTAGCTCCACCAGGGGCAAAACGGCGAGGGGGGGTCGTACCCGCCCCCCCCCCCCCCCCGGCCGGCGCGTATGTAGAAAACCAATAGGTCCGGCGAGGGTTAAAGAGGAACTCGAGGCTCACCTGACAAAACGGCACTTCCCAAACGGAACGGTGCTGCATTACTGTTTTCATATATACCAACCGTATTCGGACAATTTTCCAAACTCCTAAAAACGGTTGGATATCTTTTGTAGCAAATTTTTCTGAGATTCAGATGACATATTTTATTTTGTTTAACTTGTTAAGGTTAATGAGCTATTAGCACATTTTACCTTATTTATTGAACGACCGTACAATTCCTGAGGCTTCTTCTCTTCAAGACGCTCGTTGTTTTCCACGAAGTTCGAGATCGTTCCGCAGCTGACTCGCCGGAAGAAGTGGGGAGGGTCTGATCGATACGGGCGAGGGTTAAATAGGGAGCGTGATCTGCCCATCCCTTGCTATCGAGGCTTGTTTGAGTTAACATTTGAGGCCGACAGGCAGGATTCGCGACAGGCGCTCGGCACTCGGTGGAAAGTCTCAGCACACGAACAATCAGGGAACGAGCTCTTATAATCACAGGCCTGGCACCTATGTGAGTTAGGTGATTATTTAAAATTTCCAGCTTCCGTTGCCACCTCCCCTCTCGCTCCGCTGCCCCGCCCCGGTGCCGGCCCAGTCCGACCCGCCGCCGAGGGTCGCCGCCGAGTGCCGGTCGCGGTCGGCACCTTTCTCCGCTGGCCGCAGCACCGTTCTCCACCGGCCGGCCGGCCCGTGCCATGCTCTGCACGGTGCCGCCTGCACGGAGTCGCAGAGGCGGCGCCAGTGAAACCGTCCTGGCAGGGCATGAGAGCCTTACTGCACACGCTCTATAGATGCATTTTGAATGCACGGGGCGAAGCTGAATGCTTTGTTTTCTGGATATGATGTCATGTTTAAAATAAATGTCTTTTGCAAAAAAAAAACAGTTAAATTAATTGCACGTGGGGCTTCATAATTTATCCGAATTTCACAAGACAATTTTTTTGAAATTATCCAAACTACCATGCTATGTCGCTCGGTATTGCCCGTGCAGCGGCAGGTCATCGCGGTTCGCCCCGCGCGGCATTCGGACTACGAGTCGCCACAAAACGCTCGGCGCCCGCGGCCCCGGCCGTCCCGCCGCCGCCGCCGCCGCCGCTGCTGCTGCCGTGCCGGCGGTGGCCGCCGCAGCAGTGAGCGGACGACCGACGTCCCCGCAGCAGTGGGCGAGGTGAGCTCCGGCCGCAGGCAGCCGAGCCGCGCCAATGTATCCAGACGACGCCCAGGAGAGGCGAGAGCGAGAGATTTTACGCTGAGAGATACAGTGAGGAGTGAGGATAAAGAAGTGGCGAGGAGTTCGGCTGTGATAGAGTGAGTGTGGAGTGTGAGTGAGCCAGCAGAGTTCTCCGACAGTTGGAGTCACGTCACAGCCTCCTGAGACCGCAGCCGTACCAGGTGAGCGTTTTTGCGCGGTGTGACCAGCTCGTTACGTAGGCGCCGTTCGCGGTGTCGGAGTGCGCGCGTCGTGTGTTCCGCTGAATCAGAGGCTACACGCACGCTGGGTCGCTGCTCGGCCGCGCGGTCCGGTCGGTGTGTGAACAGATCCTGTCGGAGCGGAGACGCCACGCCGTCTCCGCGCCTGATCTGCATACCGGACCGCTGCCCCGGTCTGCGTAGCGTAACCCAGCTCAGCCCCGTCTGCATAGCGTAACCCAGCTCAGCCCCCGTCTGCAGCTGTCCGTCGCTGATTATGCGATCAACGGATCTTTTCATTTCGACATAGTAACCAGTATATCTTAGCAACTTAGCATTTATCCCGCTGAGATCTGTTGAGCATTTTGGGCTCAGGTTTTATTCTCGTTTCGACTTCTCTTACTCCCGTCTCGTCTTGTCTCGTCCCGTTCCCTCTCCTCTCCTCTCCTCTTCTCTCCTCTCATCTAGACTCTTCTCCTCTCCTCTCCTCTCCTCTTCTCTCCTTTTATCTAGACTCCTCTCCTCGGCCTCTCCTCTTATCTAGATTCAACTCCTCTCGTCTCGTCTATTCTCGTCTGCGTCTCCCTGTCGTCTCGCCTCGCTCGTTCTCTCCTCTCCTCTCCTCTCCTCTCCTCTCCTCTCCTCTCCTCTCCTCTCCTCTCCTCTCCTCTCCTCTCCTCTCCTCTCCTCTCCTCTCCTCTCCTCTCCTCTCCTCTCCTCTCCTCTCCTCTCCTCTCCTCTCCTCTCCTCTCCTCTCCTCTCCTCTCCTCTCCTCTCCTCTCCTCTCCTCTCCTCTCCTCTCCTCTCCTCTCCTCTCCTCTGCGGCTGCACCATCGTTCACGGTAGACCGGCGAAACCTGGTCACCTGGGCGCCTCTCTCTCTCGGAGCAGCCCAGAAGAGAGCAGCGGCCGGCAGCGGCGGCCAAATGGGCCGTCCATCGGCCCCGGCCGGCCCGGCCCGGCCCGCCGGACCGGTTCGGTTTGGTCCACTCGCCAGCACCGCGGACGGCCGGCCCAGCCGCGAACAAAGCACGAGCGAGCGGCCGACGCACGGCCGGCAGACGCATCTGCATTGGACACTGCACGTGTGGGACCGTTCGGCAGTGTCACACGGGTCTGTGTGCACCTGTGAATGATGCAGCACTTCAGAAAGGTGACTGAGGCGTCGCTTTGGTATGCGATTCTGCCCGATTGTTGGCCCTATATCTGCCGCTTGAAAATTCAAATCGTGAAAAGCTTTGATCATTCGTCCGTTCGTAGTTCAAAGATAATATGGGGTGATGTCATGGATTATTGGTTTTGAATACCGTATTTGGTATTTATTTTAGTCAAATATCATTTGGAGGATATGTGAGACACATTCAAGAGGCTGCGTGAGTCAGTTCCCAGTCCATGACGGGAGAATACGCATTGCGGCAACATAACTACATATAGATCGATTGGGTACTGCAGATTGGAAAATTGACTGGTGCGTTTTATCGTGACGGGTCGTGACCTTTGCGATCACCTTCGTCAATGACGACATTAGGTACACCCAGATAATTATATTACATCGGGAACTTTTATACGCTGAAACATGAACTTATCTGCAGCTAATGTAGTGTATTATATGTCGCATCTGTCCATCTCTTATCTATACTATCAGTGACTCCACGCCTAATGCATTTTCCCGCAGACATTCGACACCTCGCGGCCGCCTTATTTATCCGTCTATGGCGCTGATCCTGCTCGTCACTGACGTCACCGCCGCCTTTCAGTCCGGCCACCCGATATACATACAGCGCTAGTGCTGGCCTTCCTGGACAGCCAATTTTGGCGAATAGCGTGCTGGTGACTGGGGGCTGTTACTTGGACTGCCCTTGACTGGGTGACTGTCACACAGCGCTCATATAGGATTGGTGCAGTGGGGGGGGGGGGGGGGCGCTGGTGGGACGTCGGTGGTTGATGGGACCTCAGTGGATGATGGGACGTCGGTCGGCGGCTGGTGGGACGGGGGCGGTTGATGGGACGTCGGCGGTTGATGGGACTGCTGGGCTCTGTCCCGGCGGTCGTTGGTGGCTGATGGGACGCACCTCGACGACTGATGGGACGGATGTCGGTGGCTGGTAGGACGTCGATGACTGGTGAGACTCGGGCTGTCCGTCGGTGGCGACGGCCGATGGCTCGGACCCTGCCCGCCGAGACGTTGGCGGCTGATGCAATGCGCGCAGACGCTTATGACGTGACGGGGGTTGATGGAGGCCCAGTGTGGGACGCCGAGTGCATGCGAGCCGCTTTGGTATACACTCGGCGGCGTTAGGGGCATTATAAGGAGGTTCGACAGTCCACTCACGTCCAGTCTGGTTTGCTCTATCGGAATGGGGCTGCGGTGGATGAAATAGGCGATCGAGAGGCGATTTATCGCTCAACGGTGCGCGACCATATTGGGAATTCGTGCTGCTTATCTTGGAAGTTTTCCATGAAGCCGTATGGATGCACGTCTCCTTATCGGCTTACTGGAACCTCTTTATTTCTGAACGTCAAAGCTATTGCGCATTGAGGATATAGCCATAAATTATCAATGACTCAGAATGCCGCGATAAGACTGCTGAGGTATAGTCACTCGATGACCAGGCGAATGGGTGTATGTACCGCACTCTGCGGCAGAAATGGGGGTTCTCCGCAGAATCATTTAGAAAAGGCATAATGAAAGTGACCTGCGGCCACTACAAGTAGCCATCTCCAAGGTCTCACACAAAGTAAGCATGCCATTAGCCAAACAACAAAAATCAGCTTTAGAACTCTTCTGCCTCTCGTGCGAGGCTTTGGTGTGCGAGTAGGCTGCGCTGTCTCCCGTGTGAGACTGTCAGCTCTGCCGTCTCCCGATGTGAGACTGTCAGCTGCGCTATCTCCCGATGTGAGACTGTGAGCTGCGTTATCTCCCGATGTGAGACTGTCATCTCTGCCGTCTCGTCTCCCGTGTGAGACTGTCAGCTCTGCCGTCTCCCGTGTGAGGCTGTCAGCTCTGCCGTCTCCTGTGTGATGCTGTCAGCTCTACCGTCTCCTGTGTGATGCTGACAGCTCTGCCGTCTCCTGTTCCCCTGCAGCAGCCGCGATCAGTTCCCGTCCGCCGGAGGCTGGTCCGCCCAGTGTCAGCGCGCCGGCTGGGCCAGGCTGGCATCCTCTCCGGCTGTGCCAGGGTCCGCCTGGCACGGCCTTTTTGTAGGTATGTGGCGGCTGCCGCTGCCTCCGGCTGTCACGAGATGAGGCCGGAGACAACACTGGCTGGACCGGCACCGGACAGTGTTCCTCTCATTGGCGATATACATCACGTCGTTCATCACGAATGACAGAAGCTTGTTTTCTATTTAGTCGGAAGCCAAAAATTGTAGTTCCGGTCTATGCATAAATAAGCGGAGCATATGGCGCATCTATATCCTTCGCCATGTGTATTTTTCAAGATCTATCCGAATAGATATATGTAAGCGGTTTCCGGCAGATGTTTATATGTAAATGCATTGATAACTCTTCTTAATCAGTTCCAACCAGCCAACTGGCTCGCCAGAGTCGGACTTTTGTCATGACATCGCGCAGGCCGATGGGCTAACAGAGAGACGTGTGCAGAGCTCTAGAGAGAGGCAATGAGCAAACACACTAAGCCAGAGACTGGTTTGCGACCACATATCACCGATGACGGTGGCTGGGACCGGTTCTGCGGGCAACTGGAAACCCCGGCAAAACTGCAACGCCGCTCGACCGCCGCCTCATGACGAGGAGAGGCAGTGGAATAGTACCGAAATGATATAAGAAGTAATGGTTGGCTGGCACTTCGGATCAGGAACGAAGGTTCCTGTTACGCCGCTAGTATCCGCGGCTGAGTTCGTTCCAGCTTCCGGGTCCGCGATCTCGGTCCGCGATCTCACACAGCGTTCTGAATAACGTAGTCCTGTATTGGTGATCGGTTACCGGCGGGGGCCGCTGCCCGACTGCTGCACGGCCGCACCGTGCCCACGAGCGCAGCGAGCTCAGCGCCACCTAGTCTACTGCACAAAGTTCAGAGGGCAAGGGCTACGTCACCACACACTACCCCCCTCAACAGGAATGACAGTCGTGGCGAAGCAGACAACACAAAAACTGGCCGAAATAAGACTAAACATCCGTCTAAAACTATTTCAAAGCAAAGCCAGTCGCTTCGAACACGACTTTGTGTCGCCGTCACATTTCGGCTATGAGGCGACGCGGCTGCTTCCGCTGCCTGACGGAAACACGCTGAGCGATGCCCCCAGTTGCTGATCCAGCTCCTGTTCCTGTCGCCGATGAGGTCGCACCGCCCCCTCTGCTGACCTCCTCCTCGGCACCAGCGTCGCCGCCTGCAGCTACCTGCGCTTCCTCGGAGCTGCCACCGGTAGCGGTAGCAGGTGCTGTCACAGCATCATTGCCCGTCGCCCCCGGCCTGTCTTTGGCCGGTGACCTGACCGTCGTTTCCGACCCGCCGGTCACACCTGACCCGACGATGACCCCCGGTCTGATGATCACCGGTGGTTCGCCCATCCCCGTGGGTGCCACCGGAACCTGTCCAGTACGGTTCGGTGCTGCCACCGTCGGCTGCCGGCTGACTTCCTCCGCGCCATCGGACGCTGCAGCAACCTGTTGGGTGCCCGCCAGACGCAGCTGGTCGGCGTGCCGCGACCAGATCGCGCTCCCCACGTCCACTTCGAACGACAGCGGGCCCGTCCGGGCGGTGATGACGCCCCGCCGCCACTTGGACGGTCCACCGTAGGCCCGTGTCCAGACGTGGTCTCCGATCGAGAACTGCCTGTTGTGACCTGGCCTAGCGGCCTGCCACTGGCGAAGTTTTTCCTCGCGCTGCCGCACATGCACATCCGGCTTTAGGAGGTCCAGGTTGGTTCGCACGTTCCGTCCCAACATCATTTCCGCTGGAGACCTCCCCGTGGTCGCGTGTGGCGCCACCCGGTATGCCAACAAGAACCGCTGTAGGCGCTGAGAAAGCGTTCCTCCGTCCTTGAGTGCAGCTTTCAAGCCATTCTTTACGGTTTGAACTGCGCGCTCCGCCGCCCCGTTGCTACTTGGATGCCACGGCGCTGTCCTGATGTGCCGAATCCCATTCGAGTTCAGGAACTGGGAGAACGCAGTGGCGGTCAGCTGGGGTCCATTGTCGCTGACCACCTGGACCGGCAATCCAAACCTGGCGAACATTTCGCGCAGAACACGCACAGTGCTTTCCGTGCTGGTCTCACGCATCGGCACTGCCTCCACCCAGCGCGAGTAGCTGTCATACACTATCAGAAAGAAAGAGCCCTGGAAGGGTCCAGCGAAGTCGATGTGAACCCTGAACCAGCAGCTGTCCGTCGGTTCCCAAGGGTGTAGTTCAGCACGCGGTGGTGCCCCGCGCTTTTCCATGCAAGCCGCGCAGTCACGCGCTAGGGCCTCCAGCTCGGCGTCCATGCCCGGCCACCATACGTATCGGCGCGCCACACCTTTCATTTTGGCGCTGCCCAGGTGACCTTGGTGCAGCTCTGCCAGCACCTGTTGCCGAAGGCAGTGGGGAACCACCGTCCTGCCACCCCAGAGCAGACATCCCAGGTCCGTGGAGAGCTCATCCCGCCTCTGACGGAACGGGGCCAGCTCCTGCTCCACCTGTCCGGGCCACCCACTGTGCACGTACGTCAGGACGCGCGACAGTACCCGATCGCGGCGTGTCGCCGCCGCGAGTTGTTTGGCCGTCAGAACTGGAGCTACTCCGTCCATGAACAGCAGGTACGAGCCGCCGCTGTTGTCGTCTTCAGCATCCGTTGGCTCGACCTCTCCGCCTGGCACTGCCATACGAGACAGACTGTCCGCCAGGTGCATGTCTTCTGATGGACGTAGCTCCACATCGTAGGTGAAAGCCGCGAGCTGCAGCGCATACCGCTGGAGCCTGGCCGCAGCCAGCGTTGGCAGCTCACGCTCCGGACTTAAGATGCGCGAGAGCGCCCTGTTGTCCGTAACCAGGGTCCACCTCCGGCCGTAGAGAAACTGACCGAAACGCTTGACGGCGAAAGACACCGCCAGCGCCTCCTTCTCTACCATCGGATACTTCCTTTCCGTTTTTGTGAGTGTCCGAGAGGCGTACATCACCGGACGCTCCAGTCCTTCCTCGTCAGGCTGCAGAAGCACGGCTCCCACGCCGACTTCACTGCTATCTGTGACGAGCTTGAGCGGCGCCTCTGCATCGTACCGCTTTAGGACTGTGTCCCCTGCCAGCAGTTTCCGCACTCTGACCAGTGCGTTTTTGTGCACATTAGTCCATTTCCACGTGGCGCCCTTCTGTAAGAGCTCGTACAGCGGCGCTAGTTCCGTGGAGAGGTTGGGAAGCACGCGCTGGTAGTAGTTGATGCTCCCCAAGATGCTGCGCAGACTTTTCACATCTTTAGGGTCCGGCATGTCGATCACTGCGTCAACTTTCTCCTGTACTGGACGCAGCCCCTGTGCTGAGATGCGCCAGCCGAGGTACTGCACCTCGTCGAGTCCAAGTTGACACTTCTCCCGTTTCAGCTTCACTCCATGAGCTTCCAGCCGAGTTAGCACTTCATCCAAGCGCTCGCACAGGTCCGTCATGTTCGCCGCCGTCACCAGCAGATCGTCTTGATAGGCCACACACCCGTCTATGCCATCCAGGATGTGATCGATTGCGGCCTGAAACACCGAACTGCACGCCGATATGCCGAACGGTAGGGATTTCATCCGATACCGTCCTCGGTGCGTGACGACTGTTGTCATATCCCGCGATTCCTCCGCGAGCTCCAGCTGCAGGAAGGCGTCTTTCAGGTCCAGTTTGCAGAACCGCCGTCCTCGGACGCTCGCAAAGATGTCCTCGGCGGATGGCGTAGGATGCGTCGCCATTTGCAGCTGCGGGTTTACCGTTAGTCGATAATCACCGCACAGACGCACACCGCCATCAGCCCGTGGCACCGTCACCAGTGGTGTTCCCCAGCCGGGCGCGTCGTTTGGACCGACTTTTTCCGCGATCCCGGCCTGCACCCAGCGGTCGAGCTCCTGCTCGACGGCCGGTTTCAGTGCATATGGAGGCGAGCGCACCGGCCGTGACACCGGCCGTGCATCCGGTTTCAGTGTCAGGTGCGCCTTTACTCCACTGATGCGCCCCGGTGTGCCGTCAAACACCGAATTGTGCCTGTTACAGACCGCCTCCAGGTCCGCCGTCCCTCGGTCCGGAGTGACGTCCATCACCGCCGTCTCTCCGCCGCCCACACTGATGTCCAGAGCCCGCAGCCAGTCGCGGCCTAGCAGACGGCGATCGCCAGGCAGGTCCACCACGACCAGTCGCAGTCGATGGTCCCGACCGCGAAACCTTACAGAGACGTCTGCCTCACCCCGGAGAGGGATCCGGTGACCAGTGAATGACGACAGCTGCAGCTGAGTAGGTTTCAGTCGCAGCCGCGGGATGACCGTGTCCCGCCCCACAGCAGTGATAGGGCTGCCGGTGTCCACCACCATTTTGATGGCCACCCCGTTCACCGGTAAAGTCATTTTAACCGCCTCCGTTAGGTTAACAGCGTTTATCTGCCCCAGCCCCCACATGTCCGCCGTGGCAGTCCGCTGTCGGCATTGACTGCGCAGATGTCCGATCTGCTTGCAGCGGTAGCACCGCCGCGTCTCCGGTGCCGGTCTGACCCCGTCGGATCCACGAGTGTCAGATTCCCGGCGCCCCGGCCCCGTCGGCCGCCGTGACGCTGGTGCCGCACGCGCTGACTCATCCGGGCGTCGGCTGTTCTGACAGTCCCGCTGAAAATGTCCCGCCGCACCGCAGCGGTAGCAGCGGACCGTGCGCCGCTGGCGGCTCCGGTTACCGTCAGCCGTGCGCTGTGGCCGGACAGCGTTCAGCTGATCCGGCCCCGAGGTCACCACATCGACCTCTGGCCGCTCGTCCAATGCGGTAGTTGACCGTCCGACGCCGTCCGTGCTCAGAGACGCATTACGGAACTGCGTCACTAGCATTTGCGTTTGCTCGTATGCACGAGCCGTAGCCTGGAGATCTTGCAGTGAAAAGTTGTCTCCTTTGGTTCCGACCGTCTGCAACAGTCGCTCCTGAATTTGTGGAGTCGCGCCGGCCACGCTCCTGTCCCGGAGCTCACGGTCGAGGTCAGCCGCCGGGAACCCGCACCGCCCAGCCACCGCCCGCAAACGAGCCAGGTACGCGTCGAATGACTCGCCGGCGTACATGCTCGTGCGGTGGAACGTTACACGTTCCGCCATAAGGTTAGACGTCGGCTGTAGATACTGGCGTAGTTTAGCCACAGCGGTGTCGTATTGTGACGTTGCAGCCGTTGCAGCCGGCTCCGGCAGGGTGTTGAACACGTCCTGGATGTCGGGCCCCATTAGATGGAGCAGGACTGCAGTCCGCCGCCGGTCGTCTGTTATGTCCATCGCCTCGGCGTAGAATTCCAGACCCTTCAGCCACCGGCTAAAGTCCATCCCCTTTGCAAAAGGAGCCACGCTCGGCAGTCCGGCCGCCATGTTTGCCACCGCCCCGAGGCTGCACCGGGGTCGGGCACTGCACACTGCACTGACCGCGCTGACTCACCAGTCACGCCACACCGAGCAGAGTCCAAAGTTCAGAGTCCAGCGGCCGCCGTCGCCGCCCGCACCACTGTTCACCCAACACGGAGGTGCAATACAAATGTTCCCAACAACGATACAGCGAAACGCAGCGGCAGAGCTTACAGCGTTAATGCACAAAATTATGCAGCAGTATAAAAAAAAATACTAAGCACTAAGCAGAACTAAGCACTAAGCAATATCACCCGGCCCGACGCTATCACTTCACCGTGATGTATATCCGCGCCGACCGCCGCGCACTGCACCATCCAGCACGCCAAAGGAGTTTGTCCGAGTCCCGACGCTGTCACTTCCCAGTGACGTATATCCGCGTCGGCCACCGGTGCCGCACCACCAGAACGCCAAATCCGTGAGAACGCCACTTTTCCTTCCGAGATCACCACCAAACGAATCTCATCCTCGTCGCCAAGTTGTTACGCCGCTAGTATCCGCGGCTGAGTTCGTTCCAGCTTCCGGGTCCGCGATCTCGGTCCGCGATCTCACACAGCGTTCTGAATAACGTAGTCCTGTATTGGTGATCGGTTACCGGCGGGGGCCGCTGCCCGACTGCTGCACGGCCGCACCGTGCCCACGAGCGCAGCGAGCTCAGCGCCACCTAGTCTACTGCACAAAGTTCAGAGGGCAAGGGCTACGTCACCACAGTTCCCATACCTACGATGTTAGATTGTAGTTTGTAGTAGTCACCACTTGCACATATTTTATATTGAAATGACCATTGGTCGAGTATATAGGTACTGTGAAGATTCTTTGAATATTATATAAGAGCACGGCGTTAAATCAATTCCTGCTGCAAGTTGTCGTCGAAGGGTGTCGCGCATTTGCGCAGTGTATTGGCTCGCCCGGTTATCTGATGACATCGACGGCCGCTGCAGAGACTGGAGTGCCGCTGTTTGACGCATTTTATCCGGTCGGCCTCCCTCCGCCATTTTATGATGGCGTTCCCGATATACCCTCCGGTAGAGACCGTTCTGGAGGCCCTGCCGGCCGCCCTGCACTGCTCAACTAACGGGCCGCCCTGCCGCGGTGGTGAAAACAACGCCGTCTTTCCCGTATTGACTCCCACCCGGGTCCTGCTGGGCGAGCGGGCCGTGCCAGGTGCGCCGCCGCCGCTGCCGCGTCAGATTGAGCGTCGTGCGCCGCGCCGCCGCCGCCGCCGCCGCCGCCGCGCCGTCAAGGACTCCGCCGCGGGAGATCTGGATGCCGGAGCTGATAAGGTCGGCAGTCGTGGGATTTGGCCACCCTGCGCACCGTTGTCTGACCCGTCCCTTCTCTCTCTCCATGTGTGCAATTCAATAGGTCTTCTTTTTCTGACAACCAAATTCTATCTTTAGGTATTCCACTGATCAAAACAGTATCTACGTATGATTAATAATCAGAAATAACTTACCAATACAACTTCACACACTGAGTTCAAAGGTCTGAAGTTTCCCATAACCCGATGCGGAACTGAGCAGTGAATCGTTGCAACATAGAAGGAAAGTTCTCTCAGTGTGTGCAGTGCGCGGTGTCTGGTGCACTGTATGCACGTCGCTCGCTCGCCCACCATCAGCGCCTACTTTTACCGAGCTGGCAGAGTGGAAAAGTCCCATAGGTATAGCGGTCAGTCAGGGCCAGGCCGATCCGATTCCACGGGGCAGAGAGGTGCGGGCTGCGCACCCTGCACCAGGCTGGAGAGCAGCGCAGAGGCTAGACCTGCATGTTTCAAATGCCGAACGACTAAGAAGGATGTTTCCAGTGAGCAGCTTACCAAATATCATGCAGCTAATTGCGTTAAAACGTGTTACGTGGGATGGAAAAAATTACAATGAACTAGAGGTGTTCCAAGGCAAACCATTTGCAGGTACTACATTTAACACAACAAAAGTTGATGTTTGACCGCGTGCTGTATTATTGGCTGAAGTTTGGACTCATTCACAGTTCAAACGGCACAAACACTGTACGCTGAGTGCAGCGTCAGTTTGTGGTGACCGTTTTCAGCGGGCCGCTGGCCAATTCATGGCTGGTCACGTACGACGATCATAGCACGTGACAGACGTGGAGTTTGTCGGGTCACCGGTCACGGCGGTCTGGTGTGACCCCTCCGCCCGCCGCCCGGTCCGGCCCCTCCCACTTCGAGGGCGGAGGGAACTTTCCCCACACGGACACGGCACTTCTACACTGCAGTGTTGTTCGTGGTAGTTGGAACTTTGAGGGACCGTCGCTGCAAAGCAATATGTGACATCGGGATTACGACACATTAACATGCAGGATGGGATTTTATGCCTCGAAAACGCTCAGCTCCTATTGCTTGTCTCTGAAGTCTGAAGAGAGCTGAAAGTAGGTATTTTATTTCCTACATGACCTAAGGATCAAATCATCTAGTACCTTCATGAAATGAAATTGAAATACATATCTGACAAAATTAACATGAAGGTGAATATCTACTGACTTTCGTTTGCGTTTAGTTATTCAATATTCATATCTTCTCAAATATGAAGCAAGTCTTGCATCGCATTGTTATTTTCGAAGCATAAACACATGCATCGATTGAAGTGAGCCGTTCAAAGCGCCAAAAGTGAGCCCTTAGGTCGGTGATTTATTAAACCCCGTTCGCATTCACCGGACGCCTTCATTCCTGGAGTAGGTAACCGTGGTTGGATGACTCACAGATTATTGTGAATGCACTGAGGTAATCGAGGCCATCCTGCGGTCAGTTGCACAGCGGATTATAGATCGTCGATCGAACAAGGATTGGAGAGAGAGAGAGAGAGAGAGAGAGAGAGAGAGAGAGAGAGAGAGAGAGAGAGAGAGAGAGAGAGAGGAGAGAGAGAGAGAGAGAGGAGAGAGAGAGAGAGAGAAAGAGAAGAGAGAGAGAGAGAGAGAGAGAGAGAGAGAGAGAGAGAGAGAGAGAGAGAGAGAGAGAGAGAGAGAGAGAGAGAGAGAGAGAGAGAGGAAGAGAGGGAGGAGGCCATCCATAACAGCGTCAGTGCGAACTCATTACACGCTGGGCCATGGAGCCACTGCAGGGAGTGGCCGCCCCTCTCCGGCCGCGCGGGCCGGAGGGTCTAGTCAGCCCGCTCCCCAGGCCGACCGACTGCCCAGTGCGGTGGTGTGTGTGACTGTGTGGTGTGACCCTAATAACAGCGGAGCGCCGGGGCAGCGACCCGACACCGTCGCTGTCGCGGGCTCAGCTCGGCCGCGGCGGTGCAGTGCATGTATCGATCTCGCCGCCAGCGGGGCGCGTTACGTGACGCCCGACTGGCAGTCCGCGTGACGCCCGACTGGCAGCCGGCGTGACGCCGTCACGCAAAGTGACGCGGGTGTCGGCAGGTGGCACCGAGGAACGGCCGGCCCGTCCGGCCACAGTGAGACCCAGAACGGGGGATAATATCCATAGAAAACTTTATTCGCTGATTTAAATCCAGCATATTCATAAGCTGTATTCCTTCTCTCATGAAGCTGAGAACCATTTACTGCCAAAACTAAACATGAGATGAATCGCATTAGTCATCCTTTGAAATACCAGGGTAACCGTGGCAGTAATTTTACTCATCTGAACTACCTACTAGCACGAGGGCTGACATTTATGGAACGATTCATTCGTTGCCGTAATAATGTGGAGCCACTTTAATGTCATCTAGATAACTGATTGCCAATGCTGGAAGGTCTTATTGAGCATGGCTGAAATCTCTTCTAAACTCTTGTGTGATCTGTTCACGGAATTAGTGCGACATATAGCCTGTGATATTCAAGTGCAAATTCTAGCATTTGCTTCACGTACGATTTTCAGGAATGAAGCAGCAACATCAAGCACCGTTTTCCTTATGCCGCGATCATTGAATTGAATCCGCCAAAGTTCGAAGCCCTAACTGTATGGTCACAGGGCCTCCTCTAAGGATTTTTCACTGGGTGGGCAAAATTTTTCGCCGCTCCCCTGCCCAAGGGCAGATCCAGTCACTTGTTTTGGGGTGCAACCATTTTCACCTGCGACTGGGGGGGGGGGGGGGGGGGGTTAAGCCTATGTCACTTTCACAGTCAACCAACTGTGCCATTTATAGTTTAACGTTTGTCGTGTGTGATATGGTATTTCGTGTGTATTTCACCTTATAGGTATGCCTATTGTTTACATTAGTGATATCAATAACGGAAAATCAGGATACCGATACCAAACCAAATGCCAACCAAAACCATGAAAAATACCGAAATCAAACCAACTTGGGAACATGAGGGAAATACCAACTTTTTACCGAATTCGTATCCTCTTATACATTAGCCGGATTCGTAATACCAACAAAATACCAACAACATTAGGATCAAAATACCAAATACCAAGTTGGTATCAGTTTGGTATCGGTACACCAAAAAGTTGGTATCCGATTGACATCTCTAGTCTACATACATTTAAAATTTTAAGAACACTGCAAAAGTGCAGAGTTAAACTTACTATGATTGCTCCGCTCCTTGAACCAGAAATCGAATAGGTAGGTGAGGCTCGCTGCCTCTTTTTAGGAGGCATGGTCAGCTTACTCTTGGCGCGTCCTCTTGATCTAAATACGGCTTTTATTGACCTTAATCTACTTGTAATACATCCTTGGCCTTGTAGCGCGCTACCCTGCTGGCCCATGCCGGTCTTTGAGGGTCCCACACTGACCTCTGAGGCCCCATGCTGGCCTGTAAAGGCCCATTTTAGCCTCTGAGGGCCCCGCACTGGATTCTGAAGACCCGATGCCGGGCTTCAGCCATCCCCTGTATTGGTGTTTTTCCAGCCGCGAACGTAGGTACTCTTATAGGGGGGGGGGGGGGCGTTGGACCTCCCTTGCCGTTTCGCCCCTGATCGAGCTAGAGCTTCGCGGAAAAAAAAACAAGCGTGTTGCCCGTGACGAGAGGAAGCCGATGATACCCAATTTTAACCCTCGCCGGCACAGGCCATTGCGTCCTTCGGCGGCACGACCCCCCCCCCCTCGCGTTTGGCCCCTGATCAAGCTAAAGCTTCACGGAAAAAACGAGCGTGTTGCCCGTTACGAGAGGAAGCCGATGATACCCAATTTTAAGGTCCTAGGTCATCGGGTGACCTTCCAGGTCAGGTCAATGACCCGAACACCGGGAAAATCGGGACTTGTTAGAAAGTCGTAAAGTGTGGCTGCTATGTGGTTTTCCGGGGTGCTGATCACGAATATCGTGTTAGTTTTGATCAGAGATGATGTTTTAAGCATGCCATTTAGACCAGGTCGGGTCAGGTCAGGTCAGGTCAACCGGTAGGGGTTGTGACGGGTATTCGTATTACGTGTCAACCGCCTCTGACAGCTTCGTAACATGTTCCGAAGGCACCAAAACTACATCGTAAATGTTCAAATGGTTGCTAAATTCGAATTCAGCTAAAAAACTAGCCTAGAACATGAAAAAACTCGAAAAAGTGAACCGAGGTCACCCGAGGTCACCAAAGGTCAATGACGTGACCTGACCTTTAGGTGACCTTGACACCCACCCTTATGTATGGGAGCAACATCAAATCACATGTTTGAACGTTTGAAATCACGAAAAGCTTGCAAACGCGCGGCTAATGCGAGCCGACATACGCCGAATCGCGATTTCGGCCAAACATGGTCACGGAAAAGAGGTCACAGGTCGCGAGTTATTCGCAAAAAATCGAGGGG